ACTCCTGGGCTCAAGCGAGTCTCCTGCCTCTGCCTCCCAAGTAGCTGGGACCACAGGTGCCTGCCACAACGCCTGGCTATTTTTTGGTTGCAGCCGTCGTTGTTTGGCGGGCCTGGGCTGGATTCGAACCCGCCACCTTGGGTGTACGTGGCTGGCGCCTTAGCCACTTGAGCCACAGGCGCGGAGCCTTTCTTGTTTAGTTTTAGGAAGTTCTCTATATATTCTGCATAATCTCTTGACAGATAAAAAATTTGCAAATACTCCCAACCTATGAATTACCTTTTTACTGTTTATATTGTCTTTTGACACATAAAATTTTATTTATTTATTTATTTTTTGGAGACAGTCTCACTCTGTTGCCCTCGGTAGAATGCTGTGATGTCAGCACATAGTAACCTTAAACTCTTAGGCTCAAGCGCTCCTCTTTCCTCAGCCTCCCAAGTAGCTGGGACTATAGGCGCCTGCCACAACACCTGGCTAGTATTTTTAGAGATGGTCTCACTCTTGCTCAGGCCAGTCTCAAACTCTCAAGTTCAGGCAATCTACCCACCTCAGTCTCCCAAGTGCTGGGATTACAAGTATGAACCACTGCGCCCAGCCTCACACAGGACATTTTAAAGTTTGATTAAGTGCAATTTGTCTTTTATTGCTTTTGCCTTTGTTGTCAAATTCAAAGAATCATTGCCAAATCCAATCATGAAGCTTCTGTCCTGTACTTTCTTCTTAGAGCGCTAGTATCAGGTCTTACAATTAGCTCTTTCAATTTTTGTATATGATGCAAGATAAGGGCCCAATTTCTTTCTTTTGCAAGTGGACATCCAGTTTTTCTAGCACCATCTGTTGGAAAGCCTGTCCTTTCCCCACTGGATGGTACTATGTCCTTATCAATGACCACGGGAGGGTTTACTTATGGACTCTCTATCTGTCTGTATGTCCACTTTTGTATTAATACTGCTGTTTTGATTATTATAGTTTTATAGTAAGTTTTGAAATCAGTAAGTGTGAGTCCCTCAGCTTTGATCTTTCTTAAGATTATTTTGCCTATTTGGGGTTCCTTTAGATTTCTTATCAATTTTAGAATGAGTTTTCTGTTTCTTTTCTTTTTTCTCATTTTTTAGAGGGGTCTCACTCTGTCACCCAAGCTGGAGTACAGTGTTGTGACCATAGCTTACTGCAGCTTCAAATTCTTGGGCTTCAGTGATCCTTCTGCCTCAGCTTTAGTAGCTACAGGTGTGCACCACCACATCTGGCTAATTTTTCGTAGAGACAGAGTCTTGTTCAGTTCCCCAGGCTAGTCACAAACTCTTGGCCTAAAGTGACCCTCCTGTCTCAGCCTCCCAAACCACCAGGATTACAGGCATGAGCCACTGTGCCCAGCCAGGTTTTCCCATTTTTGTAAAAATTGTCATTGATGGCTCGGCACCTGTGGCTCAAGCAGCTAAGGCGCCAGCCACATACACCTAAGGTGG